TTTCTGTGTAGCCCTGGCTGTTATGGAATTTACCGTGTAGACCAGGCTGGCCTCAAAATGAGAGGTTCACTTCCCCCTGCCTCCTGATTCCAAATAATTCTTAAGCAAGTTGTTTTAAAGAATGCTTTTAAAATCTGTAAAAGTGTTTTTGCTCAATGGAAGAATGTTTAACAGAAATGTGGCACTAAATTTAGAATTCCCTCTAAACCTACTACTGAAGTAGCTTAACATTTGAAACATTCCTGTCCCTCATGTAGCCCAAGCCAAGCTGCTCTGCATTCTTTTAGGCCTAAGAGCCACACATTTCCCTTGCCTCACTGCTATCCACTATTAGCTACAAATACACAGATTATGGGGGAGACAACATAGGTCAACGATAGAAAAAACCATTTTCTTTCCTTCTCCTCAGTGGGCACTCCAGGTTCTGTTGACTTTCAGCTACACTGTGGACCATAACACTCAATGACTCCATCTGTTTTCACAACCATGGGGGCAGAGTAAGAAAACCACAGTGCCATGAAGGCTGTGCAGATGTGCAAACTGATAATCTCACAGTGCCTGCAGCTTTTCTAGGAAGGATACAATCAAGCATTAAGCCCTCCACCCCTCAGTAAATATCCTTGAAGAAAATTCTTAGTTTACTTAGTCTATAAGACAAGTTTATGCAACTGCTAATTTTCCTTTACACGTACATGGAGGAATATCCTGAAACCGATTGCCTTTGCCAATAGGTGACAGTAGCATATTATAGCATTATGGTTTGAGTATGACGTTAAACTAAAAAGGCTCATGTACTGAAAGCATGGGCCCCAGCTAGTGACATTACTGAGAAGTGACCTGGCCAGTAGGAGGTAAGGTCTGGCCGGAGGAAGTGGTCAATGACTTGAAGGGTTCCATCCTATCCTATGATTCTTGCACCCTAATGTTCTTTGCTTTCTGTTTGCCAAGATGTACACAAGTTTCCCAACACATCCCTCTGGCATAACATATCACAGGCCCCCAAACAAGAAAGTCAACTAACCAGGGTCAGGAACCTTTAAAACCATGACTCCAAATAACTCTGTCTTCCTGCCAGGCTGTTTTTCTCAGGTCACAGCCATAAAAACTGACTACAGTTAAGTATTAATTTGTTTCTTTGACAACATAGCTCTCATTACAAACTGTGGGAATGTTCCTCTGTCTTCTTTTTTTGATATGATCTCACTGTGTAGCCCAGGCTGGCCTGAAACTCGTTAAACTCTCAAACCAGTGTCCTAATTTCGGAGACTGTAATAGGCATGTGTCACCATACCTGATTGCAATCCCCTTTCTCTATGAGTTGGTTCTGTCTTTCCTCCAGTGTCCTATCATCTCTTCCAGTCACAGAAGCACAAAGGAACTCACCAGCTGGCTTTTCAGGATCAAGGTCTTCACAGAACTTCCAGAAGTGATAGAAATCTTCAGGCAGGGAAAGCTTATAAAGGTCTTCGACTTCTTTTCGAAGGTCGCTGGAGACATCGGCTTCACAGGATTTACTTTTCTTCACTTCAACTGTCTTCTCACGCTGGAAATTGGCATATATAACTTTAGTTCTCCATAAGAAACCCCTAGCAACTCACCTTGCATACCAATTATCACCTATAGTTGGTTAGTTTCTATGAACTACATACATTTTTTCTAAAGATTTACTTTTATTATTGTGAATTATGTACATGTGTGTATGTCTGTGTTGGGGTTATGTGGCTACCTGTATTGGAGTTATATGATGTTGAGAGCTGCCCAACATATCAGGAACTGAACCTGGGTCCTCTGAAAGACCAATGCATACTCTTAACTGTTGAGCCATCTTTTGAGCACCATTTTAATATATGTTAAAAAATGACATTTATAAATAAAATCCTAGGAATTCTTTCATACAAAGTAGAAATAGTTTACATGGTGGTCAAGTAATACCTACACACAGCATGTCTTTAAATATGCTTCTCCATGGTAGCAGAAACACAAAAGAAAAATTTTAAAAATTGTCAAAAAGGCAGAATTTCATTACTCCATAATCAGCACTAAAGATGATTGCCTGGGCAAAGCCAACATGGGATATACAGTGAAACCATCTTAAAAAACAGCAAATAAAAAAAATGTACAATGGCACATATGTACAAAGAAGCCAGGATGAAACCAATTACTTTGTATTCTAACCACAATCATTGTGAACCTTCCATTTACAACTGGGGGCTTCCCTTTTAACACTCCAAACAAAATGAGGGGAGAGATGCTAAAGTTAATGAGAATAAACTCTGATCGAAAACCAACCACTTATTTCAGAAAAGGCTTTGTAATGCCAAGACTTGCTATTCTTTGCATCTTCCAGCACCCGTGCAACGTAAACAAGCTAGGCTTGAGGATGCTACTAGACAGCTGACTCATTCCTGCCATGGAAACATGCATTTGGAGTATATTATTCCCATCACAGTCCTCCTTTCAACCCAGACCTGGCTCTGAACAGAGGGTAACTGGACATATAACCCTCTCAGGGCTAGTGGCATCTAGTGGTGCAGAGGCTGGGGACAATGCTCAACACTGTACAATGCACAGGAGGGCTGCACTCAATGTCAATTATACTAGAGTTGAGAACTTTCACCTAAGTGTTTCTGATAATTATGTTTTCTCAGAGGCCCAGGTCTATTAATATGTATCAAAGTCTACCTGGTGTATTTACAAATCAAATGGCATGGTTGTTCACCATGGCACTGTCCTTAGGGATTTAAATGCCAACTGACAGGGGAATGGATAGTTACAGGGCTTTCAAACAATGGAGTACACTAAATAAAGGGGAGTATAGTTAGACAACAAGGCTCAATTATGAACTATTTGAAAGGAGTAGGTGTAGCCTTGTTAGAGGAAGTATGTCACTGGGGGTGGGCTTTGAGATTTCAAAAAGCCCATCCCAATCCTAGAGTCTCTCTTCCTGCTGCCCGTGAACGAGATGCAGAACATCCAGCTACTTTTCCAGCACCATGTCTGCCTGCACCCCACCACACTTCCAGCCCTGATGATAATGGACTAAACCTCTGAAACTGTAAGCTAGCCCCAATTAAATGTTTTATAAAAGTTATTATAGTCACAGTGTCTCTTTACAGCAATAAAACAAGATGTACCATAATAGCTTTTTAAAGAAAACAACAAACTCTAAAAGGCAAGTGAAAACTCAAATTCAGGGTGATAAAGTGACTAGAAGCAGCAGGTAGTTTAGGCAGAAAGGATAAGGAACATAGGTGAGTGGATGCAGAGATGTGGTAGTGTTTTATCTTCAAAGCTATTTTTTTAATTTAAATTTATTAAATACAATATATTTTGGTCACTTCCCCCACGCCCCCCCCCAACTCAACATGAGTCCCAAGGATTGAATTCAGGTCATCAGGATGGTGGTTAAGTGCTATTACCCACTGAGCCATCACATTGGACCTTGTTTACGACAGGGTAAACTGGTAGCCCAGGGTGGCCCTGAACTTGCAGTGTAGCTGATAATGACCCTGGAGTTTTGATCCCATCGCCTCTGCCTGACAAGTGTTGGGAATGTAAGTGTGTGCTAACACTCTGGCTTTTGAGTTGACTCCTGACTTAATTTCCAGCTGTCACCTGGGGCAAGCTACTTAACCTCTCTGTGCTTTGTAGTCTCATCTAAAGACATGGTAGTATTTGTTTTCATAGTTTTTCTTTTCTTTAATAAGGAATAGCTCTATTTCAAAATAAAACAGTCCTGGCAGATAATTGATGCCAGCTATTATTGCCTGCTATAAACACTCCACCAGATCATCTTCAACCTTATTTCTAGTTAAGCCAGTTATTCTGCCAAAGCAGCCCACTGTAACTTTAAGAGACTTCTCGGATCTGCTTTAAGCCAATGAGTTTCAAAATCCTCACATTCCTAACACGTAGAATTTGAGACAGCTGCTCTCTTTAGACTTCATTTTTAACTTGATGTGAGAAAACTCGACCCAGTGTGAAAAATATAAGCACCGTCTGCTATCCGTTAAGCCTTAACCACAGCCTCATCTTACCTAACCAGTTTAAAATTCCACTAGAACAATTTTTGTTAAACTTTAGTTTTCCTGCTTAATTCCTCTTATTAGCTACTGGATGCTCAGGGAACGCACGAAATCATGTAAAAAGTCCAGACTGGCCACTTCATCACTCATTGCATCCCTTACAGTTTATGTCAAAGGATCTCTTATTTTTCTTCTCTGCCATCAAGAAAGATTTTCAAGACCGGGCTGCCTTAAAGTCTTCCTGCGGCAGGGCATGGTGGCGCACGCCTTTAATCCCAGCACTCAGAGACAGACAGAGGCAGGCGGATCTCTGAGCGTTCGAGGCCAGCCTCCTCACATAAAAGAGTTCCAGGGCAGCCGGGGCTACAAAACAGACCCTGTCTCAAACAAACAAGGGTCGTCTTTAACAACTCCAGGACTTGCTAAATCCAGCGTTAAGCCCAAGCAAAAAGTTGAGGGTGAAGTGCGCGCTCGCGTGGGTCCCGTCTCCTTGACAGTTCCTCCACAATCCGCTGGGCCCGCCAGACCTCCGTTTCCATCAGGTGGCTGAACTCATGAATGGATGTGTGAATGG